AATTAATAATAGCATAAACTTCATTATTCAGCCGAATAACTTCAGTATTCGGCTAGGCCGAATAGTGGCCGAATATTCGTTACATCCCTAATCCCAATAATGAGAAGATTATTTTGATTGGAAGATTTTTAGCCATTTATACTATTTGGAACTGTGCCGGAATCTGCAAATATTGCGATTCTTTAAAAATTAGCAGTACTATTCACGCGATTTAAGCATCCAATTTCACGATTTGTATTTTATTACGATTTGTATTATTTTTAAAACCTAGCATCGTGATTTGTATTGGTGTGAGTTTGAAATTCAGTTTTGCGATTCGTATTCGTGTGATCATCTTAAACTTATGCAGCATGGTTTATATTGACGCGATTTTAAAATTTTATACCGCTATTTGTATTTTCGCATTTTTAAAATCCACTATCGCAATTCTTGAAAGAAGTAAGTTTTTTTCTTGAAGTCAAAAGGTATGATATTCTTTATTAGTAGGTAATTTAATTATAAATGATAATTAAGATAAATTTGAAACATGTATATAGTCCATTCCACCTTAAGTTGGCACTGCAGGGAAGGGTAGGATATGTAATACTCCGTCTTTGAAAAGTAGTTCTTCTCTATTTTGGAATTAATTGCCGTTTAAATGCGCGTTCAAATATAAATAAATGTTGTATAATAAGAAAAGTTTATCTTGAAGCATACATTCGAAGTTTCTCATGTTTAAATGTATTTAACTTATAAATAGTTTCTCAGTAAAGCGAATGTACAAAAAAGAAGGGGGTGTTTTAATTTGGCGCTGGATTAGTTTTCAAGGCCAAGGAATTGGCTAAGTTTTTACACTGGTCAGCCAGCTCGTTCCACTTTCCTTGCCTTTGCTTAAGTGTCCTATCTCTTGTGCTGTTCTTTTTTCGCTTTCTTTCACTCGCATCGCATAATTGTTCTTTTGTTTTGTTTTTTATTAGTTATTGACTGTTAATTTGTTGTTTTTTACTGGTTAGTTATTGTTAACTCCTTTTTTATCGTTATTAATTTTTTTTGCATTAATTGTTAATTTGTTGTTTTTTACTAGTTATTTAATGTTAGCTCGTTTTTATAGTTATTAGTTTTTTTTTTTGCATTAATTGTTAGTTATTTTTTTTTTTGTGATTCTTTGTTAAATTTTCTTCTTCTTTTTTTGTTGCTAATTACTAAATGTTAGCATGTAATAAATGTTACTAAATCCTTAACTAGATCATGTACTAAATGTTAGCATGCACTTTATTCAATCTCCTTAAAGATTCAATTTTGCGCCATGTGTAGCTCTGAAGTACAATTCGCTTTTTATAGGAACTTTAATAATGTGATGGCGGAAATTTAAGGTTTTTAGTTTTGTTTAATTAAAGGGACTTTTAAATATTATNAAGATTCAAATTTTGCGCCATGTGTAGCTCTGAAGTACAATTCGCTTTTTATAGGAACTTCAATAATGTGATGGCGGAAATTTAAGGTTTTTAGTTTTGTTTAATTAAAGGGACTTTTAAATATTATCTGAAATACAAATTCCATAATATAAATGTAAGCATAGAAATTGAAATAATTTCAAAAAAAGATACAAAATGTGAATCATAATTTTTTTTTAACATCGAAAGGTCAATTTAAACCAGTCAATGTGTTAATTATTTTTTTTTAATACAAAGCCAAAAAAGCTGAGAAATTCTTTCTCTTATGTAGAAAATATTAAAATATTTCAGTATCTGACAAAATATTTCCAGACTAATTCTACAGTACTTAAATAACTAATTATACGGATTTATCTCTTATGCCACCTTTCACCTGAAAAGCAGCAGAAGATTCTGATATTTTAAAATATGTATTTTCTTTTGAGAAAATGCGCCTAACCACCCAGGTAGAATTTCTCCTGATAAGAAATTGTGGATTGAATTCAATTCAGGGCGACCCCACAAAAAGTTTGCAGAAGGAACTGTCAACTGTTAAATTATTAAATGAATAACATGATAACCACCAGGATAGGTCAATGAGCTCCTGTTGAGTCTAAGAGGGTGGGATATTGCTGTTGAAAATATGTACATGCAGTACGCGCTCCCTATGTGGATAATACTAAAAATCCAAATTTATAAAATTTTTGAGAATTATTTTTTTAGGTAAGTTCTTTTGTCTCTAAGAAGCAAATATATTTCAGAAAAAAATTATTTTTATATTAAAAAAAAAAGAAACTTTTCTGAAAAAAATTTGAATTTTTTTTTATTTATTAAAGAAAAAAGAACAGTAAATATTAAAAAACATAGGTATGATATTTTTCATGATCAATGATTCCCTGCCTATGCTTTTCTTGCCTATGCTACCTATGCCTGCCTTGGCTTTTTCTTCCCCCACAAAACATCAATGTGGTATAAATTACAAAAGCTATATGCTACAAAAAGTAAGCATATAAAAATAAATATTTAAAACAAAGTATTTATGCGCATCTATGCATTTCCTTTTTTTACTTAGATTTCAGCAACAACAAAAAAACTTTTCAAATATATTTTTTTTTCTATTGTTTACAATTAGTTTAATTTTTANTAATACAAAAGCTAATGCTACAAAAAGTAAGCATATAAAAATAAATATTTAAAACAACGTATTTATGCGCATCTATGCATTTCCTTTTTTTACTTAGATTTCAGCAACAACAAAAAAACTTTTCAAATATATTTTTTTTTCTATTGTTTACAATTAGTTTAATTTTTATTTAGTTAAAAAAATCATAATAAGAAGATCTGCTTTTTAAATACTAATTAAGAAATTAGCTTACATCTTAAAATAATATTTATTAGAAATGCTCTAAAAAATCGTGTTCTTTTCTGTATTCTGTTCAAAATTTTAGTACGATTCTCAGTTTTAAAAAAAAGTATCAGCATTTTGCTTTCTTAAACGCCAATACGGGCCACTTTCTCACCTTTTTCTGCTACCTCATCCCTCAACCGACTTGAAGAGTAACCCAGTTTCCATGACAACGTCTGTAATCCGGTCTGCCTACCCTTCTCCCCAGTGCCAACTTAAGGTGGAATGAAGTATAGTATATAAACTGACATCTATTTTTTTACTCTGAAAATCTTCACGGTTTTTCGCTTTGAGTCACAATCACCTCTGATTATTAATTATGTTCAGCTGTACCTTTTTTCTCTTAAATTTTTTCAGCAATTTTAACTAGTACAGTTAGCCCAATACAGCTGAGCCCAAGAGCACCGTGATTGCATTAATATATAATCTGTACAGAGAACAGGGTTTCCGCTAACAGGGTTTTTGCTAAAGGATTTTACTAAATTCCATTTAAAAAAAGCTTCCGCGAAAAACCATGACGCTAACATCCATGAAAAAAACTTGATCAAACAAGAAGGAGAAAAAATCTAAATATCTTTCCCAGGAAGAACCATGACGCTAGCGCTCACGAAAAAAACGTGATCAAACGAGATGAAGCATAGCGATCAACAAAAATGGCTAGAATATATGAGTTTCACCGAGAAGAAAAGAAAAATAAACTAACCACAAGACTAAAAACAAGTTTTCCCTCCCCCTCAACCTTCTGCTGCAAGTAGGAATGCGACACAAAGAGAGATCTTTTCTGAGAAATCGGGACTTCATTTTTCTACGCTTTTTATTGGTTGAAGCAGACGTGTCTCCCGCTTTCAAACACTGATTTCGTCATCACGGTTTCTCGGCGGCCTGATTACATACTTTTCTCGCATCTTGCACGTTTTACGTTCGTTAGAAAAGAATTAAAAGTTGCCTATTTTATTTTGCGTGTTTTTATTTGTTTTCATCTATGCACACATGGAAAAAATTTTGATAAACAAAAGAAGAAACGAGGATTCGCCGCAAACTAAGGATGAAAATAAGGGGGGAAAGTCTAAAACTTCGATTCCTTCAAGAAATCTCGTTAAGTGGTGCTCCCTATACAAATGTCTGGAAGTTGAGTGGATTAACAATTTGCCATCTTTCAAGTGCAATTTGTGTGTTTCTGCTAAGAAGTTCAATATTTTATCCAGCTCAACAGGTATGTATATTTATTTGTACTTCTATAATATATATCACATTATATATGCTGATAATTAAGCTAATTTTTTATCCTAAAATTATTTTCTTGGTGTCTCATTTTTTATGTTAATTATATTCCCCTTATTTATCTTACAGGATGCTTGATTTCTAAAGTAGATGTATTGAAAAAGCATGAACTGAGCATTGACCATAAACATGCTGTAGAATCTATTTTGAATGCTCCCCTGCAAATACCAGGCGATTGAAGAATGTTCAAGATATCCTTGAACAAAAATCAAGGAAATTCATAAAGTTATCAACAACTCGGTGGTTGTCTTTGGGGAATTCAGTTACAGCTCTGGATTGCAACTGGCAAGCTCTTGTTAGTGTTTTAATGGAAGACAAACGTCCTGTTGCTCAAGGGTTGTTAAAAAATATAACTACTTTTTTGTTTTTAGCAACCACTGCCATCATGAATGATATCATGTTCAACATTAATAAATTAAGCCTCATATTTCAAAAATCTAATTTAAATTTTGAATATGTTCAATCAAGTGTGAAGGCTTGTATTTCAAGTTTAGAAGAAATAAAAAATGGCACCGGCACTCATTATATGAGTTTTTTAGATGATGTGCCTAAGAAGGAAAGTGAAAAATTTGAGTTTCAGGGCCATATAATTTTAGATGGACTGAAACAGAGGGAAAGATTCCGTAATTTGATGCACAATTTTTTAAACTGTATCATTGAAAATATTACTGATAGATTGGGAGATTTGGATAAAATCGAAATGTTCAATATATTTATACCTAGCAGGATGCCCCATAGTTCGGAAGAATTACAGCATTATGGTGTAAAGGAAATCCGTTGCATTTTCAATTTGTTTTCGGAATCTCCCAGAAAAGATTTTCAGTTTACAGAAACTGAATTACTTTGTGAATGGGGATTATTTAAACACATCTTAATGCAACGATGTAAAAACATGTCATTTAATGAATTACTTTTATTTTTATATACCAATGATGTGTCTGAACAGTACCCATTAATAACTTCTGTTATAGAGTATTGTGCAACAATACCAATGCACACTGTTGACTGTGAAAGGGGCTTTAGCTGCCTTAATTTGATTAAAACTAATATTCGAAACAGGTTGTTAATCAACCATGTAAACAATTTGTTAATGATTAATATTGAGGGCCCTGAAAGTGCATTTAACTTTCAAGAAGCATTTGTAAAATGGGCAAACATGAAAGAAAGGAAGATTGTTAATTATAAACCAAAATGTTTTGATAAATAATAAATGTGTTTTTTTTTTTTTTAGGTATTCTTTTTGATATTCTTGTACATTAAGCTATTCTTTGTCAGATAACTTACAGTACTTGTTTGATATAAAGTAATTTTATAAGCCTAATGGCATTTTAGCATTTTGCTAAAACTTTTTTTCAGATTTTAGCTTTTTTGCTAATGAATTTTTAGACTCAGCTTAAACCCTGACAGAGAATTTTGTTTTTCCATATTTGAGTAGCAACTGAATGAAATATTTCTTATTAGTTAGATGGCTACTCTAAAGAAGAAATGAATGCAATCCTCAGGAAGTTTGACATCAAATCTCCCAACACTGGCAATGATTTGTCAGATGCCCTCGAATTCAATCTTATGTTCAGTACATCCATTGGTCCTACAGGATATTTAAAAGGGTATGTTATCAATTACTTTTTTTAGAAAATTTATGTTTATGTTAACAATGTTCGGTCAGAACTTCTATGTTTCTGGATCCATCTCTGTTTATAAATGAATATATTTTGAAAATATAAATGTTATAACAGTTGGGCTGAAAAGTTCGTAGGCTGACACATAGATGGGGCTACTATTATTAAAAACATATGATTTTTAGTTAGTTCTAACCTTCAAAAGGCACGTGTATAAATTTGACAGCTGTCGGACTAACAGTTTGTGAGATATAGTATTTTTAGTGAAGCAACTTTTGTTAGTTTAAAAACAATGGATAAAAAGGAATTTCGCGTGTTTATAAAGCATTGCTTTCTAGCGAAAAAAAAATGCTCTTGAAGCCAAAGCTTGTCTTGAGAAACATTTTTCGAACTCTGTACCAGGAAAATCAACCATTGAGAAGTGGTTTGCTAAGTTTAAACGAATCTAAATGAACACTGATGATGATGCGCACCGTGGACGCCCCAAAGAGGCTGTTAACAACGAAAATATCAAAAAAGTCCGTAAAATAATTTTAGATTACCGTAAAGTGAAGTTGATCAAAATATCTGAGACTCTAAAGATATCAAAGGAAAGTGTTAGACATATCGTGAATGAATATTTGGGTATGAGAAAGCTCTAGGCAAAGTGGGTGCCGCACGAGCTCACAATTGACCAAAAACAACAACGAATTGATGATTCTGAGCTGTGTTTGAAGCTGTTTAATCGTGATAAATCTGAATTTATGTGGCGATATATGACAATGGGTGAAACATGGCTCCATAATTTCACACCGGAGTCCAATCGACCGTCAGCGAGTGAACTGCACGAGATGAACCAACTCCAAAGCTTGGAAAGGTGCAAAAGTCAGCAGGCAAAGTTATGGCGTCAGTACTTTAGAATGCTCATGGTTTAATATTCATTGACTATCTTGAAAAAGGAACAACATCGACTATTATATAGCGTTATTGGAGCGTTTTAACTACGAAATCGCAGAAAAACGGCCCCATTTGAAGAAGGGAGTGCTGTTTCATCGAGACAATGCACCATGTCACAAGTCAATGAAAACGATGGAAAAATTATATAAATTGGTCTTCGAATTGCTTCCGCATCCACGGTATTCTCCATATCTGGTCCCCAGTGACTTTTTCCTGTTCTCAGACCTCAGGAGAATGCTCGCTGGAAAGAAATTTAGCGCCGATGAAGAAGTAGTCACCGAAAATAAGCCCTATTTTGAGGCTAAAGACAAATCGTAGTACAAAAATGGTATCGAAAAATTATATGACCGCTATAATTGTTGTATCGCCCTTGAAGGAAACTATATTGAATAATAAGATGAAATTTTATCAAAAAAATTTTTTTCTATGTTAGCCTACGAACTTTTCAGCCCACCTGTTATTTTCAAAAAGTGCTTAATTTTCCTTTTTTGAAAAAGAGATTTTTTCCCCATTAGTGTCAATTTTCGGCATGTATTATACAAAAGCACGTTGCTCTATTCAACACTTTCACAATTCATTCAATCCCCATCCATTTCAACGTACTATTGGTCCGTAGTTTGTGAAAGCACATGTTTGCACTTATGATGAAACACGAGTCCGTATGTGCATATATTTTGCTGGGTTCGGTGAAATTCTAGCACTCTCTTGTGCAACTCTGCTGCATTTTGCAAGATATTCACAATTTCCAGCTTCATTTTCCGCGATCTGAAATGAAATCGAAAAATCCTTCAATCTTTTTATAATGGCTAATATCACCAAGAAAAGAGTTCATTGTTGAAAACTAGTTATTTTAACATGATCATCTAAAGTCTTTGAAAATTATTTTGTTAATGTATATAGTGCTTAAAAATATTTTTCGAGTGCGTAACAAGTGCTTATTTTTTGTTTAAAGATTTGGCTATGCACCCTGTCTCTACCTTTTTATCCATATCTTCACTTTCATCCCCAGGAATCTGGGGTATGACTGCTAACGATCAGCAGACTACCTTGCAAAGCAGGGAGCTTCTATTCTACAAATATCACAGAAAGCTAATGCTTAATCGAGAAAAAGATAAAAGGGTCTCACTTTAAACCAAATCACACAGAAAAATTCCGGAAAAATCTCGCTATGCTGTGTCCTCAAGACACAGAGCAGTCGCTGAGTACTGGCCACTACTGCTTCCTTAAACATTCTCATCGAATTCATATTGTATCAGCCCCCTTTCTGCATGCTCTGTGATCTTCAGCAAGAGGTGGAGGATGATCACCTTCGCTGTTTCTCAGCACTAAAGGACACCTCTTTGTGATACCATTTACTGGCCCACAAGGAGCATATTGAGTTTATAAACTTTCCTTTCCGTGCCTGTTATGTTTTTCTTTTCTTTATGTTCTCATTTGTTCCACCCCTTTTGACGTGTAGAGAACTTTGGAAATTAAAAAATCTTCGCTTTTATAATTGTCATCGATTTCCTGCACATGTGCAAGTTTAACAATGCGTACCCTACCTATTCTTTTTCATTGTCACCTGATTTAAAAATCACACATCTCAGTTCGTATTTTACGAATTTTAAAAATCGTACATTTTGATCCTTCTTGCGATCGAAAAGTTTAACACCGTAATTTGTATTAACGCAATCTAAAAAACACATTTTGTACTTATAACTCATTCATTGCAATTCGAAATCGCAAGATTTTAAATTTAAAAATTCACACTTAAATTTAAAGACCTTGCATCTCAATTCATATTCACGCTATTTGAAAACCATGCATCGTGTTTTTTATTTGCGTAATTTAAAAATCACATTTAGCAATTTGTATTCAAGAGATTCAAAAATAGCACATCAGTATTTGTATTCACGTGTTTTAAAAACCAGGAAAAGAGGAGCACCATGTAGGACCATTCCAAAATTGATAAAGTTATTTGCCCTTAGTTTAATACTGCCCACAATTACAGCCTCTGTCGAAAGATTGTTTACCAAAATGAATTTGGCATGTTTAAAATTAAGGAGCAGTCTTTAAACAAAATCATTAAATTTTCACTTAATGGCCTGAAAAAGCTATTGCACGATCAAGTAGATAAAATTATCACAATATTTGAAAATTTTGCAAATTGCAGGATAACCATTGAGAAATTTTTTAAGCCATTTTATATCATTTATGGGCATATGCTAGGAAATGATTTGCATAGCTTTAAATTTTAACTATAAAAAAATGTAATCAAGATAAATATCTTAAAGTTAAGTAAACTTTAATAAATTGTTAATATATAAATGTACTAATTGTAAATAGTAAGTGCGATTTTAAAAAAGTATTGGTCATAAAGAGTTGTAGACAAGTAGCTCAATAGTTTTTTTATTATTAAGGAAAATATTTTCTTTAAAATTAATGTTTTCTTTCTTTTTCTTACCTCTCTCAGCCCCTGCCTCTTATAATTTATTTAAAATAAATGTTTTAAGGTTGAAGTATATACCTTATTAAATGTTTAATCTTATTTTGAGCTCAGAGGTTTTTTTTTTTTTTAAATCATTTTTTATTCTATAAATTTTTTTTGGATCAAAGTATTTAGCTTGCATTTATCTTAATAAGTAGAATATTTACAATTCAATGTACAAATTTTTTAATGTTAAAATTTGTATATTAATAAACTTACGTATTTAATGATATAAAAAAAAAAACATGAATTTACCCCTTATTTTAATTATTTCAATTTATCTGAATATTTTTTCTTTTGAATTGATTTTCTGATTTTGTTTTATTTTCTAAGTAATCAGTTTAGCAGTTTCTAATTTTAAACATTTCAAATATTTAATATTATGCAAACATATTACAAGGCTAACTGAGAAAAAGAAATTAGTGCCTAGAACAATGATATTTATATAACAAATAATAACTACAATTAATGTCAACATATCTGTCTAAATACTTTGGCATGCGTTGGTCAACCTGCCGTGTATGTGGTCCTTCACTCAAAGAGGTTGTGCAACCCTTTATGCACAGATTAGAGTGCCGACCCTGTTATTGTGTGATAATTAGGATAAAATAATTTTTCAATGATGTTCCCTTAACAAACTATACCAGTAGGGGTACTGAATTGGAGATAGATCATTCTCTGGTTCAGTTTAAAATTGCAATCTGCAAATCAATGAGTGGGTCCACCCTATAAACGGGTGTGACGTATGGGTGTGGCAGAAGTCAAATTCTCGGCCACAGATTTCGCCACTGCGAAACAAGAACAATCGCACCCCCTCCGTAGTAATTGCTTATGACAACAACCAAGGTTGCCAAAAGTGGTGACCACTCCAATCGTAATCTATGGGATATTTAAGGCTATTTCAGCTATACTGAACTATTTCATTTACTATAGCATTATTTAAGTAAGTTCAGCTGTTTTTCAAGCAATTAAAACTAATAAATATATTTTTCCCAGTATAGCTCACACAAGAGCACAGTAGCCTCTTAATATATTGTGTATAATATAAACAGTGAATTTCTTTTCCAGTTTTGAGTGGAATATTTGTATCTGTGGTAAAATTAGGATAAAATATTCCTTCAATAAAGTTTGATCTTTGTAGGTATCTCCGTCCTGAGACTGCCCAGGGGATATTTGTTAACTTCAAACGCCTTCTTGGTTTCAACCAGGGAAGATTGCCTTTCGCAGCGGCACAAATTGGGAATGCGTTCAGGAATGAAATCTCTCCAAGGACAGGACTCATTAGAGTTAGGTAAGTCTTTTTAATATCTGATCTTAGTATGCCATGCTAGGGGGTTCGGTTGACCACCCCACCTTGAGGTCAAGAAAACTGAGATGGAATCAGTTGACCTTGGCCCTCTCTGGGCTGCCGTGCCACTGAGTTTAGCTTAGTTTAAATCTTAAATCATATTGAGGTCGAATATTCACACTATTTGAAATTACACATCACAGTTCTTATGCACACGATTTAAAATTATCAGGATTCGTATTCACGCTATTTGAAGTTGCTCATGACGATTTGTATTCACAAGATTTAAAATTGCACATGGCGATTTGCGTTCACGCAATTTAAAATTTACTCTATTCAACCGAATTATTAGAATTTAATTTTAAAAAAGTTACATTTTATACAGCACTGTTCATAATTAGACATTTTTATTATTTTTTTTAATCAAAATATTGATAATGTTCTACGGATATATGCTTCTTTTATGCACTTCTTGCTCAAATTTCAGCAATTTTTTCTATTTAAAATTTGTTTTGTTTGCAACGTTTTTGGATTTCTGTTTTGCTTTTTACCAAACACATCCCTGATTGTATGATGAGTGTTTCCCTGTCTGGCTATAATTATTAATGATAATGGCTCTAGTGACATTATCTTCTCTCTATGTAATGCGAGCTGGTTCCATCAAAAAATCCTCCACAGAGGCAAATTTCTTCCAATCCAGGAGTTCCTTGGATTGGGTTCAAAACGACTGAGTTGAACATTGGTAAACCCAAAATTGAATCAGCTGTTCAATGATGATTATAAAATAAAATAAAAAAACAATTAGTAGGATACTCAAAAGTAATTATTGAGTTGTTTTAAAATAATAATTAATTTGGATGTCTTAAAAAATATTATTAAAATAATGAATTAAAAGTATATAAAATAAATCCATACAAGAGTGACAATGTATATACAGGGTTTGTACTTTGTCAAGAAAAAAATCAGGGAAAAGAATAATTTTAACTCAAAATTGAAAATTGTTAGAGAATTCGACATCCTATCAAATTGTGGGATTTTCCTCTTCCGTTTTCAACCATAACTTGCTAAAAGAAAAAAAAATCAGTTTTTTTCCTAATACTGACTGTTTATCCTGAATATTATGCTATTCATAGTCAGGATTACCACTCAACAGAGAGAACAGGGAATTTAAAAATTACTTACAGGAAAGCAAGGAATATGCAGAGAATTTTGAGTTCCTTTGAAAATACAGGAAATTTTGTTTCTTATTTTAGTATTTTAAAAGTGGTTACCTCTCAATGCATAATCAGCAGGATATTGAAGGAGGATATTCCAGCTATATTAAATTGTATTTCATTTACTATAGCATCATTTAAGTATGTTAAGTTTTTCCCTCAATTAATATTAGTATAGTTAGCCCAATATAGAACGCAATAACTGTGTTAAATCTTAATATATTGTGTGTAATATGTACTGGCAAAACAAGTGGGAATTTTTGATTGCTGACAATCTGATGACCCAGTTAAGAACTTGAAACTTCTGCTTTAATTTACATGTTTATTTTATTTATTTTTTTAATTTTGTTTCTCAATTTTTGTTATTCTTGATTTAAAGTTTCAGATGATGCATTTATTATTAAGAACGAAATGTTTTTTATCGTCTGCCATGTTTATTTGATATCTATTAACAAACTATTTTTTTCATTGAATAAATTCTGATTCCTCAAAAGTGTAGTTTCATTTGTCTGATGTGGACTCACATCTGTTGTTAAAGAATCTAATAAAAGCAGAAGATAGTTTATATTTAAACTTTCAATTATTTAATGCTAAAACGCAAATGATTATTTTATGAAGCATATTGCAGCTTTCTCATTTTACAAGTGATACATTTCTGATTCCACTACGTTTTGAGTCCCCCCCCCCCACACCTTTTATTTCTGTTCCTATAAATTTCATACTGAATAAATTTGTTCTTCCTATTCATAATTTTAAGAAAGTTTTTTTTTTTTAAATTTAATTTGTCTAATTATATCCTGCCTTTTGCAAGGTTTTAATATTTATGTTAGCGCTTCTTTTAATTATCATTCCCATTTGGTAAATTTTAACTGGTATTTTTATTTTTATTTATAAGTATTCATTATCATTATCTTTTTTTTTTTAAGCAGGGTTGGCAAGTTTTTGACACATGACGGTTTTTACCATAGTTTTTACCATCATGTCAAAAAAAAACTTTGTCAAAAACCCATAGTTTTGGTAAAACTGTATTTTTATTTGAGTTTAACTGCTTATAATTTAAAATTAATTCATTTTCGGGCAATAAAATTAGAAAAAAAGTTGTCAAAAAATATTTAAGAACAGATTCTTGCATTTTCCCAGCCTGAATATATCAAAACATACTATTTGAAGCAAAATATTAGGATACTAAAAAAAAAATTTCAGCATTTCCAAGCATCATTTTGTTTGGCATATTACATTACTGAAGAATGTCAAGATTGATTACTTTCATTCTTAAAATCTTGCTATGAGAAACACATGTACACATAAAAAGAAAGCCTCATAAAATAAACTTTTCTTATCAATTTTGCTTTTACACAAAAATGAGACATGAAAAAGCCTGGGAAATCCTTTTTAGAGTTTCAATATTTCTGTATGAATGTATATCCTTCTATAAGAATGCATTTATATAGTTGCAAAATCAATAGCAATCATTTACAACATTCATTTATAAAGGCAATTATGTGAAAATAATATATTGTCTGCTATATTGCATAAATTAAAGAAAACAGTAGGTTTTTGACAGTTTTTACCACTGTCGTGTCAGAAACCAGTTTTTGATGGCAAAAAACCCAACACTGTCTTTAAGTATAGGTAAGAAATATATTGCTTTTTTTTTAGTCATTAATTTTGTTTTATATTGGTTAATTTGCTGATTTTAATTAATCCTATAGATTTTTATAATTTGATTTTATTTAGTTTATTATAATTCCATCGTTTAAGATTTTACCATCGTTTTATATTAGTTAATTTGAAGATTTCATAAGTTGATTTTATTTAGTTTATTATAATTTGTATTAATTTAATAACATCAGTCAACTTAGATATTTTGTAGTTTGCTAGTTTCTTTTTTTTGTTGGTTTGGTATTTATAATTAAAAAAGAGGTTTTTTTTAAAATATTTTTTATTAACTTCTGGTTTTTACCATCGTAACTTATATTTTCCATCGATTTATCGATTTTACTTTTTCTTTCCCTAAATAGAAAATCTTTACATATTGCTTTTTATAGTTTTTTTTTTTTTTTTTTCGTTTTTCTCTTCTATTCTTAAAAGCGTTTGTCAGTTGAATAAATATGATTTAATTTTAATGAAATACAGATTGTTTGTATCATATTTTCTTAGTTTTTTTTTTTTTTTTAATTTGTTGTTTCATTTTATTGATTGTACTTTTATTTTTTGTCTTCTTGCAACTTGGTCTCATGTTTTAGGAAAATGTGTTTATTTTATAACTGAGGATTATAAGTATTGCGATTTTATCATTTATTTATTTATTTTTTGCTTTTCTGTTGATGAAAAGCATTATTTTTTAGTTATTTATTTTATTTGACTTAATTTAATAAAATTAGATTAATATCAAATGATAAGGTGCATAGTGTTTCTAAAACGTGATTGAAGGTGCTTATTCTCATTTTTAAAGTTTCTTTTTTCTCTGGGTGTTTTTAAAAGGTGTTTAATTTTTCTTTTTCCAAAATGTGATATTTTTTCTTTTTCATGTCAATTATGCAAAAAGCTTCGTTTTCGCATTGTTTGTTCAAAATTTATTCAAACATGATCCATTTTGGTGTACCTTTGGTCCACCAATCATTTTTCATATTTGATTAAATACTTCCTGGGCCACATCTACATCTACTGAGCTGGATTCAGTGGTAAGGATTCTTGCACTCTCATGTGCAATTCTACTTCATTTTGCGAGACATTCTCAATTAAATGCTTCATTTACTGTCCTCTGAAATTGAACCAAAAAGATCTCTCAAATTTTTGCTGATCACTGTGACTCACTAACACACCATTTGCCAATTTTTTTTTCCCTGGTAGCAAAAGAAAATGTATTTCTCTTGTTAATTTCATCGGTAAACTCTAATTGGATGTGATCAATAATATTAATCTTGTTATTGTTTTGTTGAATATGCTTATACTCTATAACCTTTTTAAATAATAGTTAAATTTATTTTAAATTTGAATTATTATTTTTTTGCATAATTCAGTAAATTAATTAATTTTAAGAAAAATGAGTCACTCAATGTTGAATGCTTTTTAAAACTGTGCATAAATTGGTGTTCAGGTGGGTGATGTAATCAATCAAGAAAAGAGTTCTTTGACAGAAGCTAGTTATTTTATCATCTAAATTCTTCGAAAATTATTTTTCCTTATTTCCATCAACTAAAACTAGCATCGTTATCCTAGTTATTATAGTATACAAAAGTACTGTGAATGGCCTCTTAATATATTGTGTGTGCAGGGAAAGCACAGGGAGTTTTTTTTTCCAGATTTGAGTGGCAACCCTGACTAAGCTCAAAATTGATGCTTTGTATGTAAATTTTTCATATATTTTTTTTAATGTCTTTTTTGTACGCATGAAACTATTTCTAGAAACCTGTCAATATTAATTCTTGTAGGGAGTTCACGATGGCTGAAATTGAACATTTTGTAGACCCTCGTTGCAAAGACCACCCCAAATTTGAGAGAGTGAGAGATTTAAAGTTATTTCTCTATTCTTGCTGTAATCAATTGGATGGACAACCTGGTACTTTGATGAGCATTGGAGAGGCTGTAAGCAAAGTAAGTTACACTCTTATTATTAAGTTGTTCTATTGATACATGAACTGTTCATTTCATTTTTTACTTTTATTTTTTACATATTGTCTCCCACAGGTCAGGGAGAACAGTGATAACTTGGAATTGTCAGGGAATTTTATTTTAATTCCAAAAGTCAAGGAATAGTCAGGGAAAGTTGTAATTTAGTTTTAGTTTAGTTTTTTTTTTTTTTTTTTTTTTTTTTTTTTTTTTTTTTTTTTTAGTTTTTTTTTTACGAAAACCTGGAATTAGAATTGGCAAGATTTAGGACAGGATGGATTCATCCATGGTTTAAATTGTCCAAAACCCTTTTATTCAAATTATGTCATGATTTAAAAAATAAATTTGTGTGAAAAATAAACAATTAACTGTTTAATAAGAAACAAAATAAAGACAAGTTTTTGTTTTATTAGAAAAAGTTTATTATTATTGTTAATATTGCATTATTTGTCCTTATGCAAAAACATAATTTATCAATATTTATAGGATATTTATTCATGTTTAAAGGATAGGGTATTCACTTTTGTTGTTCATTATTATTTTGTTGTTGCAACTTCAAAAGTTATAAATATTTTCCTATTATATCAAATATTTATTAATATATGTAATTATAATGTGCACAATAGTTACACATATAGAATTTTTACCTTATACCTATGTTCTAGGTTTTGTACACTTTAAGACCGTTTAGGACAGTTTTAATCAGATTTGGACAGTTTAAGACAGTAAAACCCACATGTTCTGTCCAAAACCAGTTTAGGACATCCAAAACACCCTGGAATATTCCTATATCATACTTGGAAAATGACCAGTCTACAATTTGAGTTAAATAAATCTAACACCTATTACAATTATTTGTTGTAAAAATTTCACATTTTAGTCTAAACTGAAATGTTTCCATCCTCATTTAATTTTTTTTTTCCCAGAAAATCTAATATTTCACATTACAAGCAAAAGAATCAAAGTTTTCTGGTGAAAATATGTTCTCATTTTTCATAGAAATTTACCTGGAAAAGTCAAAGATTTTTTTTTCTTTCTGAAATTGAGTGGAATTTACACGACACTTTCTTTTAGAACTATGTTTAAGGTAATTTTCAGTTCCGTATAGTTACCTGACTTAAAAGATTTCGATCTAGTTGAAAATCATTGCTTCTTTCTTCTAACTCTCTACACGCTAATGGTGAAAGCATGCAAAGTGTTGCCATGGTTCCTTTTTGCCACCTATAGCCCATTTTGATCGCCAATAGTGTGTCTAACAATTTGGACTGTATGTATAATATGCAGGGATGAAAGACTTCCGCGAAAAAGCGGAAATCCACTTTTTTTCTCCCAATTTTTAAAATTTCCGACCATGTTCCAGGAACTAAAATTTTTGGGGAGTCCAATTAGAGAACCCAAGCCTCCCGAACGATAGTCGGATTACTACGACTTCCGCTATTGAGTGGAAAGGAGTCTAAGCGTTTAGTTTCCAACCGCCGATATTTGATTTCTTTTGTTTGGCTGATTTTCGGAATTGCACCGGAATCTGCTAAAATCGCGATTTTTAATCAGACGATTTTAATATCAATCATCGATTTTCGTATTTAACTGATTTAAAAGTTACGTGTTGCGATTTAAAAGCTGTACTAGCAATTCCTATTAACTCAATTTAAAAATCCGATATCACGATTTGTATTTAAGCGTTTTTAAAACCCAATATTGCGAGCTTAAAATCCAACATCGCGATTCGTATTCACGCATTTGTAATATCATATATCATTTTTCTTATTTGTACGCTATTTAAGAATTACTCATTGCAATTCGTATTCACGTGATCTAAAAATTATGCATCACGATTCTTAATTACGCGATTTAAAAATTCAATATCGCATTGTTTTTTCGTGTTTTTAAAATCCAACAGCGCGATTCATATTCATGCGATTTTAAAATCCAATATCGCTATTCATATTCACGCCATTTTAAAATCCAAAATCGTGATTCACATTCACGCGATTTTAAAATCCAATATCGCGATTCATATTCACGCGATTTTAAAATCCAATATCGCGATTCAAATTCGCGCGATTTTAAAATTTAACCGCACGATTCATATCCACACGATTTTAAAATCCAATATCGCGATTCATATTCACGCGATTTTAAAATGCAATATCGTGATTCGTATTCACTCAATTTTAAAATCCAATATCGCGATTCTTGAAAGAAGTAGAAGTAAGTTTTCTCTTGAATTAGTTACTGTAAACAGGGGTCGCATTCCCCCTAAAATTCCTAAAACTATGTGCAAACCCTAAAATTCCTAAAAATCTGATAAAATTTTTTTGGTGTTCCTAAAAAATTAGAGTTATAGGCTAAATATAAATAAAAAAGCAATAATCTAAAATATAAGAATTTAACTACATTAATTAAAACTGTTTTAATTTTGCCACATGGGAATTCTGATCCTGAGAGAGGTTTTTCGATAAATAAAGCAATGCTTAATGTGAGTCACCATGAGAATACTATTATGTCTCTTAGACTAATCAAAGATACCATTCGAAATTATGGAGGAGTGTTGAAGATCACCACAACACTATTGAGGGCAGTAAAAGAATCTCACAAATCATATCAAGAATATATTAGAAAAATGATCATTCTCAGTGAAGTAA